GATAATACAAGCAAAGGTCAAGATGTTTTGAGAGAACTTTGGCTTATTTCAATAAACCATTTCAGCCTCCTCCTCTCCAATCATTCTTTTATCTTTCATTTCAATTTAGTGGCTTCAAGTCAAATAAAACTCCCATTGAAATGTGTTTCTCCTGTAGGCACACAGCTGGCTGCATCTGGCAATGCAGATGTCTCCATTCTTCTGTGGTCCAAGCTCAGATTTGCAGTCACATCTCTCATAAGTGAATTACTTTGTTTAACTGACATAAGACAGTATCACTTTAAAAGAAACATCATCTTCCAGGGTCCATGGGGTGAAATGGGTCAGGGTCATATAACCACAGATCAAAGCTATTTGTGTCATTAAAAAGAAAAGGCTTAGTAACTTTCAGTTCTATTCGCCACAAAACTGAAGTTTTCTTGGGGGAAAAGAATAACCTCAAACCTTTTAAACCCTGCCCCGATATTCCTCATCCTGTTCTGCGTTGCTTTCCACATGGCCTTAGCGGATGTGTGGTCCATAAAGAGCTAATAAAGACATTGAGCTAAGTGCTGCTGAGGGGCTCTGTGGCTCAGGAGCACTCAGCACCTCGCTGCTCCAGGCAAGGAGGCAGGAGCCCTGGTATTGCTAAATGCATTAGAAACGTGTCCGTTATGATTAGACATTTACCAGCTATTAATCACAGCTGCTAACTTGATTTCCTCTAAATGTGTTGAGGCACCCTCTGATCTGGGCACCACCTGCTCAATACTGAGTAGCGGAAAGGCAAGGCAAGCTGTGTCATATGCCTCTTCCCATGGGGGTGCACAGGTGACTGGTGGGGCTGAGATCTCCCTTATTCAAAGGAAATCTATTTTTTCCCCTTAGAAAATGCTTGCATTGACCTGCACGATCACAGCACAGACCCCATCTGCACGGCTGATTCAGTTGCTGCCATCCAAATTGATGATGAACAAAGGAATCATGTATCCAGGTGGGTACAGAGCTGTGTTTCTCCTCTCCTTGCTGGACCATGACTCATTTTCTTTGTCTTTATAGCTGTGCTTCACTGCGTGCCCTTACCTCCCTGCACAGCCCATGCCGGATGGCTTGAATGTGTCCCTTGGATGCTGGAGTGGAGGGTTACATCCCTATGGACATTTTTAGCTGTCTCCAGGTGAGCATCCTAACTATCAAAGATATTAACAGTGGGTACTGCTCTGTTCTTCTGGAGGTGGTTTAAAAAGTCATGGCCATGCCACATTATGTGATAGTAACAAGATGGGGCAGAGAAGCCTGGACTTGCTCTTGGAATCAAGGTCCAGCCTTGCTGGATATTTCCTTTCCCCACCACAGCCAGGTCACTGCTGTCCCAGGGAGACCTTTGTGCATCAGTGCAGTATACATAACCACAATAACCCCAAGTCAGAACTGGCTTTGTTACTAAGGCACCTTTATTGCTGGCAATGCTGTTAAGGGGCAGGAGCGGCCTGATGAGTAAACAGGCTCAGGCTGTTGTAAGACCAATCGCATGGCAAAGTGGGCAGGGTGACAGGGCTTGGGGAGGGTGGGAAGCCTCCCCACACTGGTGTAAAACAAAAGTCCTTCCCCTAAATACAGCAGTGCAAAATCAGCCCTGAACTGGTGCACAAAGGGAGCGAGGACTCAGCCATGCCACAGCTGGGCTTTCCAAAGCCTTTGCTCCTTGTTTGGCTTAGACCTTTAAAATTGACCCCAAGCCTCCTGATTTCACCACATGTTGCCTCACAGACCCCCTGCATCCTGCATGTGTTGAGTCTTACTCACAACTTATGTTACAGAGAAACTGAGCCCTGCAGTCATTTCCAGCAAGCAGTGCCTCCAAGCAAGGGCTGCACTAAGTTGTTCTGGCACATCTGGGAGCCATCACAAGGGTCTCTGTCACTGCATGGTTCCAGTTTAGACAAGAAGATGAGGACCCCTGAGAGAAACCAAAGCCACGCACTGTCTGGCCCTACCTCAGCCAAAATATGCCCATAGAAAGACATTAATGGTCAGCAGGAGAATAGCATTCACATCACAAACAGTCTTCCATGGATGCATTTCCTCAATGCTGGTGAGTTTCTGCTCCAGGGCAGCTTTCTCCTCCTGGGACAGGGTGGGCTTGGGGCCAGTGGACAGACCGCAGAACCACAAGTACAGCATTTTCCAGCAGGGAGGCTTGCCTGTTGTGAGAGATGGACCAAAAACTGGGTGTTATCATCTAGCTGGGACTCTTCCCTCCCTCCTTCCACTAGTTTGGAAGTGCATCAACCAATCTGGAGTAGGGTTCAAGATGCACCTTGCATGGGAGATGCAAGATGATGACAGGAGATGGGGAAGGGAAGGGTAAAGCGAGCTCCCTGGCTCAACCATGTACAGCACAGCCTGATTACACTCTGTTGATTGCAACACCAATCGTTCATTAGTTAATTAACAGACCTCTTCCCCCTCCTCCCTGACCCAGCTTCCATCCACTTTCACGAGCTCCTGACAGCATGATGGTCCATTTAGAGACACCCTGGCTCATTCATTACACGTGACATGCCGGGTGAAGTGCGCGCTTTAATTGTCAGCCCTGCGCCGCGTGTATTTCACTGCCTGTTCTTTCCAAATATAAACTTTTTGTGAGAGGCAGAATGTCAGAAGGCCTCGTAAAAGGTGTTACCTGGGAAAAGAAACCTCATTAAACTGTCAGCTGCTGTGTTTCACATTTCCTTTCCCATCAGTACTAATTACCAAAATACCAAGACACTTGTTTATAAGAATCCGAGCTAGCTAAGTGAGCTAGGAATTGATAAGAAATAATAAATAACACTGAATGGCTGCATTCATCTTAAACCCAAACTCACTCTGTTGGGTCAAAAAATATACTAAGAGATTTCTTTAGTTGTTTGTTTCTGTTTAGATTGGCTGTGATTGGTACCGGTGTCATTTGGGCTGACCAGCAAAAGGAAGGAGTGAAGACATCTGATGTATAGACCTTTCTTCTGAGATTTCTGCTCTGTAACCTTGGAAGGTTAAGCTCAAAACCAGAAAGCTGCATTTTTGAATGGATTTGCAGAATAAACCTCAGTCCACTCTGGAAAGAACTTGCCTATGTAGCATCTCCTGCTACCGTTCTGTCTCGTGACACCTCTTTGAGCTCATTTGACTCTTTGTCTTCTTACTAAGTACCCTTGGTAGGACACACAGCTATTTAAGCAATTTGGGTCTGAGTTTCAACCATGGCTTATATCCTAAGGGAAGATAAAAGATATTATTGGCTTAATGTAAATGAGAAAGCTGAGGCTTGTGGATTTATCTTAGAACATCCACGAAGTGCATGTCTGCTCCTAGTGTCGCATCGTCCCTTTGGGGCATGATGCTATTTTGATACAGTACATTACAGCAACACTGGGTGAGCTTGGTCCACGGAGCCCACACAGAGGTAAGGAGGAAGCATCTCTAGCACATACACAAGGGGGTTGTCTCCTATCAATGATGTGGCAATGAAATGCCACTTTTATGTGCTGAAAGCTGAAATTTCAGAGCCTACCACAACTTTTGTAGTGCTAGTGGTAGCTTTGGTTATGCCTGCAGTAGTGCTGTGGATCTCCTCAAGAGCATGTTGGTGGGACAGACAGATAGATGCAGCACAAAGCCCCAGTGTCAATGGAGCAAGGAGCAGTGTCCCAGCACTCCCAAGGGGTGTTCATAAATGGCCAATGACTCCCATTTAAGAAGTCCAGCACACCATTAAGTGTGAAGGCCTTAAATGCTACCACTAACTTGGGCATAACTGGAATGGGGTAGTTTGCATAGGTAAATAAGTTGTTCTAGAGAGGAGGAAGGAAAAGTCATTTTACTGAATGGTTTTCTTTTCTTTCCAGGATTGGTAGCTCTCCTGAGCCATTCAGAGGATTGCAACATGGAGGTAAATGCTAGGAGAGACACTGGGAGGACCAAGAACCACAATACTTACATTTGTCACGTCCTTATAACTGGTATACCATAAAGCCATGCCCCAATTCCAGTGAATGTAACAGATGGCCTGTCATGAGCTTTAGAGGGACTTGCATGAGATCTTGGCTGTGCACTCGCAGGTGCATGATTGTGCTTGTTCAGTGTATTCCTACCTGCCTCCTGCTTATCGCTGGAATCTGCACTTTCGACCAAGTCACTCTCTCCGTTGGCTGTGTTGATCTGTGCTCCTCCACTCTTGTAATCCTTCAGGTCAATGGCAGGTGCTTTTCTGTGCCTTGTCCACCACGTCAGGGAAGCGAGCTGCAAAGTGGGACAGAGAACAAACAGGCTATTGCCTGTCATATTCAAATTGGCATGCCTCTTGTCTCCCTCTCTGGGGGTGCATATCCAAGATGGTGCTGAGAGACCTGTTCTGGGGTGACAGTTGTTGACCCACTTCATCTCACCTCCATTCTGCACAGGTCCCAACACTGGAAAAGAAGGCTGGAGCTAAAAAGCTGAGAAATAATGTGAGTTAATCTAGTTTCCTTCCTTGTATTTTTATAACTAACCTGTTCCATCGCTGTCTTCACCAGGAATAACCTTTTAGTAGACAATGAAGAAGCAGTTTCCCATTTGCTAGGGTCACTTGATTGACATGAAATAATGATGATCTGCATCCAGAATGGCAGCTCTCCAACAAGGAAGGGTAATAAAATCAATTAAAAAAAGGAAGCAGCAGCCAAAATAACCCTCTCTGGCTACAGTCAATCACAGCCAGCTACTGTACCATCAGCAGAGAAAGAGCAGTCAGGTGTTAACATGCAGGTATATGGCTATAGGAGCACGATGCAGTTATATGGCCATGGGAACACTGGTGTTTGAGCAGCTCCTTCTCTGGGACATGGGAAGGGTCTGGAGGATCTTCTGTTTCAATTGTCATTTTATAGGAAAGGAAAACCCAATGGGAACATTAAACCCCACAGCTGGGACAAGTGGACTTCCAAATGAGTGTATGTCGGGGCTCTGAGTGGGAAAAGTAGCAGTATTGTGTCTCAGTTCACATGCAGGATTACACCATACATTAGACCAAGAGAGACAGTTAAAAGCATTAAAAAATCATCTCTGGACATATACAGTAAGACTTGGCTGTCCAAAAGCCTTTCCTCTTTTTTTCTCTATTGAGCCAAGACAAGACATTACCTCTGTCTGCAGTCTGTCAATGAAGATGATGGAAGATGATGAGCAGGCTGCTGTGGCTGCAATCTGCTTTACAAAAGCAGGTCTGAAACTCTTCTCCTCCCTGGGATGCAGAGAGTGCACAGGAGGTGTTAATCTTGGAAACCTCACAGTGGTCTTTTTGCAGCTGTGGGATGGAGTTAATCATCCCAGGGCTCCAGTGGGAATTTAAGCCAGGCCTGCTGCTGCTCTGGCTGATTATGGCACACCAGCTCATCCTAACCCCTGCATGCTCTGGCCAAGGATGATGCTCATCAGTCCCATTGGAATGCTGCTACCCAGGGCCACGGACTGTCCCCCAGCTCCAGCCCATCAAAGGAGCCACAGGATGGGACCAGGACAGCAAAGCTGCAGTGGAGACAACAGGCCAGGTGAAGTCTGACGGGCGGCTGCCTCCCTGCTCTGCCCATATGGAAATGAACATCTCAAATGGGTCACTTACAAAGTAAAGTGATGTCCCTGACACGTGAGTTTAATTCCTGACTTTTATACACACAGATCTAGGCAGGAGTTTCCAGCTGACACAAAATGTTGCATAATTTCCACAAGATTTATAGCTTTATTTAAATCATTTTCAACCAAGATGAGCATTGGGCAGGGCTAATCTTTCTTGTCACGATGTGCTAAATTGCTTTGATTTGATGATCCCCATCTTTCTCAGGGATTTTTTTTTCTTTTTAATCACTTAGGAAATGTCACTGGAACACAGCAAAGTTTCGGGCTACTAGAGGATTTCCAGAACTTTCCTTTCTTTTCCTTCTTCTTCCTATGCGTCTCTGAATGAGTGACTCTTTATAATGCAGCAAAATCTGCAAGGGCTGACGTTTACCTGCGGCCCAGACTCTGCCAGGCAGGAGCAATTCCCAATTGAAAGCAGCATAGACATACAGGTAACCTCATACACATTAGCCCAGTGACCCAGCCAGGTGCTGGTACTTTGACCATGGCCAGATAAAGCAAACCATCGCTCTAGAGGGCTCCTTGGTGAAGCATCACACCAACATTCAGACTTGCCTGTGTGGGTTTTGGGTGGCTGAATTCCCTAAGTAAGTCCCCCTTTCTCCTCTTTGCCATTGCCAGAAGGATGCATGCTGAGGCAGAACGGCAGCACTGGGTGGCCATAGAGGCCACCACGGAGATGGGTACAGTTCCCTGGCACAGACCCACAGAGGGATAGGGATGGGAGAAGCAGATGATGGCGCTTGTTCTGCATGCCTGGAGAAAGCAAGCAAATACATAAATAAGAACTGCTGACAGGGGAGCTGTGTTAGCATAACTGACTTTGACCTTGGAAATGCTGCCTGCGCCTGCTATGCCCAAGTGCAGGGGAACAGGGGGTAGCTGCTTGTCTGGTCCTCTAGAGCCCTGTAGCTCTGCTCCCCGCTGCAGAACCAGGCATGGGCACTGCTCAGAGAGCCCTGTGTCCCCCCCACCTTAGTTTACTCCTCTCTTAGTGCCTGTTTCCCATAGGAGCCGAATGTGCTTTGCTATTATAGCACTAAATATGATGTGAGACCTTCGGCTGCAGCACCTCAGAGTACACGGTGTGGGTTCAGGCCAGCCAAAGCAGTGCTGGGCTGTACACCTAAAGGAGTCACTGAAGCCGGAGCTCAAGACACAGGGAAGACATCCCCGATCCCAAAGCACATCATGTGGAACTGCCAATCCATCAGCCTGAGTGAGCCCTGACCCCTGGGGATGTCACCTAACTCGTGTAGCACTTGTGTTTTGTAGGCTGCTCCTCTCCCTTTCCCCACCTCCCATTCTCCTTGCACAGGGGAGTTTGCAAGAGCTCAGCAAAGTTTTCCTTTTGTTGTTTGTAAACTAGAATAAATCCTTCTGTTCCAAAATGCCATCTGGCACCTGACAGTTGTGTTTCAGCTTCACAGTCTCAAATCTAATTGTAAGCTCTTTTTCAGGGCTTTCAAGGACGGTGCGACACAATATGGACTACCTACAATGAAGACATATGAACTCAGGAGCATACCAAACAAATTCCTTGCATACTTGTTTTCCAGCAAAGCATCAATCACCACAGGGATGGGAGAGTGTCCAAAACAGCAGGAGAAAATGCTACAGCTTGCAGTTCTTGGATTGTAATTCATTTAAAGCCAGACACATTAGCTGTACCACTAACATCAGATACAAATCTCTGTTCTCCTTTTGCGCATTTACTATCTCAAAAGCATTGAGATTCAATATTTAAAGTTGTCCAGGGTAGATCCTCAGCTGGTGTAAAGTGGCATAACTGTGCTCAACAGCTGCTCCTGGTCTTTGAAGACAATGGAGCTATGCTGATTTACATCTGCTGCAGGAAGATCTATCGCTCTATTTGCTTGGCTTTTTCTTTGGTGGCTTGTTTTTCTTTTCCTTTTCCTTGACAAAATAAATGGTGTAATTCCTAGCTTTTATGTGATGTCTTTCATCATTACACCTCAAAGCACTGCACTGGCAGAACTAGTTCCATGCAATCTTTACAGGGGAAATGTCCAGGGCTCATAAAGTGAATTGACCAGCACATGGGACTGGGAAGCACCAGAGCTTCAGATATCCTCAACCAGGACACCCAATACCAGCTTGCCCCTCTCAGACACTATCATGGGTGATAGTGGCTCTTCACCACAGGTTTGCCTGCTTGCATGCCAAACCCCAGCAACTAGAGGTCACTAATGGTCAAACACAAAGTTCAAGTGCTGGTTTCTACCCAGGGTTAGAGCCTGACACATCCATCCTGATTCCCCAGAACATTTCTGTCCTTGAGCCATCTCAATACAGCCACAGACTAGCTTGAGATGAGGAGACAAGCCCTGCTTGCAGGACACCATGAGAAACCATGGTCCAAACCTACATCTGCACTCATGTTTAAGGCAAAACTTGGGGTGAGTTTGAGGGGAAAATGAACAATGCTGGTTTTAATGCTGCCCTCTCTGATTTGTGCCACACAGGCAATAACCCAGTAACGTTGGCATCTGCCTCAGCTTAAGACCCACACCCTCACTTCAGCTGCTCTCTGAAGAACAAGGTCAGAACTTTGCTGTTGAAATTGAGGATAAATAGTAGAACCTGAATGGAAATCAGAGTAAAACCAAAGAGGAGCAGGCTCTCCCATGCTACCGAGCTATGGGAAAAGGGAATTAGCTACCACTGTGTGGCACAAATTACCTGTCAGCCCATATCATTGTCATTGTGGTAAGAAGGTATCAAAGGCAGGGGGGCACATGGGACATGGATGGTCATCACTATCATCCGATGATTGATTTATCTGGGTCTCTGTGTCCAGCCTCTCACTGCCACAGGCAATATCATTAATTCTCATTAAATTTCTTCAGCAGAACCATTAATACAGAGGTCAGGCACTGAGCTCAGCAGTACGTGGGGTCCATTGCCTACCGAAAGGTTATCCTGAACATCCCTTGTTGGAAAACTTCCCCCAAAATGCCCAGCCTATGTTTGTTCATAGCAACCTCTGCCCCTTTAGCAAGCTCTCCTCCCTCCCTGGATCTCTACATGTACCTGGTGGGGCAGTCACCACCTCCACCAACTCATCCTTTGCTTCTCTGGGATAACTGCACACAGTTTTAGACAAAATCCTATCCTCCCTGACCGTTCCATTGGCTTTCCTTCCTGGACCACTTCCAGTCCAAATCCACCTTTTCTGAGCACTGGCTTTATGAAGACCATGTCAAATAAGGTCCCTTAAGCCCCACACCTATAAACTCACCTACCGCTACTGAAAATCTACTCTAAGGAATCCCTTATGCTCATAACCTCTCATTCCCTGATGCTATTACAGCACATCTTCATCCGGAACTCTCCCTTTTAAAATGTACCTTAAATGTTCTACCTCCAAGGTCAGACTACAAAGTTTGTAGGTACTGTGGCCAGCTTCTTCATTTCTTAAGCTGCTGGTGTGATGTTCACTATTTGCCAGTGCTGTGTTAATGCATCTTATCTTGCTATTGCTGTGGGCAGGGAGCACTGCACATGTTTAGTTATCACAGGTCAGATGATGAGTGGGAACTCATTAAACCACAGTAATTAATTGCTGGCAACCATCTGGCCACCCCTGAGCAGCAGTGAACAACGTAAGCAGCAGAACTAATGGTGCCTCCTTGTCAGTATTTCTCTCTCCCATGTGGATCCTCTGATAGCTAATAAAAGCTGAGACTTTATCTCAAAGCAGACACAAAGACAGTCTCCCTCTCCCTCCTTCTTCTCTATCTGAGCACCTGCTTTCATGTAATCTTTAGGAGCTGGGTAACATTCAATCAAACATTGATGGAACTGGTTAATGCTTTACAAGTTATGAGGAAGCAACAGATAGAAAATGCTCTGATGGCATCACCTGCGTTTCCTCATGCAGTTAGACAGGAAAAAAATAGGTCTTTTAAACCTTTCCAGTAACCTTTGTTTGGAGGTAGATGGCAGGATTTGTTATATTGACAGCTGCTTTAAAACTTGGGACTGGGAATAGCTGCTTTAAGGTCTTATTATATAAAGCCTCCCAACTCTGCACCACTTTAATGCGTTAAGTAAAAGAAAGTTGTGCCTGACTCAAAGTTATTAAATGTAATTGAGATCATATTGGGACAAAATGTTATTTTCCTAAATGCCCATGTTGCAGAAGATATTAATCTTGTTTGCCTGCAAGATTGATGCTGGCTCTGCTGAAACTGGGTAGATGCTACAATTAGATATATTTAATTCCTCCTCAGCAGTGCTCTGTAATGCAATTTCATCTCCTTCCTCTTCTCCTTTCCTTTCTCTTCCAGCTATGATGGGCTGTGGTGTCTGCCCAGCTCTAGGCACAGCATGGGAACTCACACTCAATTTGGAGCACTCAGTGCCTCAGGAAGCATTAACACTATGCAACCTGGGGAATAGAAAGCTGAGGAGCAAGGGCTTCTTCACAGCATATGCATTACACACCATTTCTTAACCATGGGAGGAAAAGAAAAGGACAGATTTCAGATATCTTTTGGAAACCAGACAGGGGGACTCTGAGGAAAGGTGCCACTGCATGTCACTCACCTTTTCCTCAGGGATTGGTGGGGTGCACAGACTGATAAGGACAATGACAATCGCAGTGAGGACACAGAGAATGAAGGCAAAGTAGAGGTAGTGCATGTCCTTCAGCACAGCTGGCCTTCTGTCCTCCTCACCACAAGACGGTGCACTATAAATAAACTCCATGATCATCCGAACAAGACCAACAGCTAGCCCAAACATGAGGCCCCAGAAAGCACCCTGAGAAAAGGCAAGCATAAAGACAAGGTCACTGCATGTTACCTTTGGTTGAAATTGTCCTCCCCTTTCCCTTTCCTCCCCTTTCCCTTCCTTTCCTCTCCTTTCACTTTCCTTTCTCTTCCCTTTCCCAAGACCTTTTACACCTGATGGAAACCCACACTGACATGCACCAAAGGAGGGTATCTTCAGTTAAAAAAGTCCTCATTTTTTCTTTCTGCCCTTGAACATGGAACAGATAGAGCACAGACAATGCAAGAGTCTCCTCTTAACAACATGCCCCCAGCTAGAATGACACATTATCCCCAAAGTGCAGAACAACTTTGACATCCATGCTTTCCAATAAGACTGACAAGAAGTACCACTTGCAGAGGCTGCTTGGAAGCAAACAAACACATACAACACTAGAGACTGGGCTAAGGTCCACTAGATAGGCTGAGAAAGTTGGGGCTGTTCAGTCTGGAGAAGAGAAGCCTGTGTGGAGACCTCATAGCAGCCTTCCAGTATCTGAAGGGGGCCTATAGGGATGATGGGGATGGACTCTTCAATAGGGACTGTAGTGATAGGACAAGGGGTAATGGGTTAAAACTTAAACAGGGGAAGTTTAGATTGGATATAAGGAGGAAATTCTTTCCTGTTAGGGTGCTGAGGCACTGGAATGGGTTGCCCAGGGAGGTTGTGAATGCTCCATCCCTGGCAGTGTTCAAGGCCAGGTTGGACAAGGCCTTGAGTGATATGGTTTAGAGTGAGGTGTCCCTGCCCATGGCAGGGGGGTTGGAACTTGATGATCTTAAGGTCCTTTCCAACCCTAACTATTCTATGATTGTATGATTTTATGAATGCATGCCAGGGAAAGTCTAATTGTCACACATTAGCTGGACTGACTTTGAGTTTGGAGTCTCAGACACTGAGGGAAGAGTTATCTCTTTTATCAAATCAAACTAAATATGTATATTAATTGGTTGTTGACACTTTACTTACAGGCTCATTAATCCTCTTGCAGAAGATTGCCAGGATGAAGAGAGCTGTGATCGGTGGGGCCAGATAGCTGGTTACGGACTGAATGTAGTCAAAGAGCTGGCCACTGTTGGCCGATTGAATGATCGGGATCCAGAGAATACTGATGACTATAAGGATGAGGATAATGACTCTGGAATATGAGGATAAAACCGTATTAGCTCTGCAGGTTTTGGAGCACACATGAAAATAAGCTTTTCAGGAAAATTTCCAATTGCTCTCAGAATTTCCTGAGAAAAATCCACATAAGACTCCCAAGAAGAACCTTTCCCTGTGCAGGGAGATTGTTCCCTTCTAGAAAGTCAATTCAACCAACTCCCAAAGTGAACTTCACAGATTTCGGAGTGAACTGCGCTAGGGCTTGCCAGTCAACATGCATGAGAGATCCACAGGACATGGTGGCTCCCACCGTGGGCTGGATCAGTGCAAGCCTTTCAGCCTGGTATGAGAGTGACACGTTCTTTGAAGGACTAGCTCTTTGATGTAATAGAGAGAGGGAGCTGAAAGCTTGTGGAAGCATGGAAGCAGTCCTTCCGCTACCTTTCCAAGCAGATAGGATGCTTAGTCTAGTGTCTTTGCCAAATTCCAACTCATTTACTGCTTATTAGAATTGCTTCTGTGGTCTCAGATGCATACTGTAACTCTCCTTCAGCTTTACCCTGTATGTTACAAAGGTTTCTCCATATTGCTGAACAAGAAGGATGTTCTTCCCCTCTCACTACTGTATGGTGGTGGAGTATGAGACTGCCTGCGGCCCTCAGCCACCCCACAGCAAAGTTTAGAACTTAATGCTCATGACTGGAGAGCAAAAGCACCACAAACATTCAGAAAACAGCTTAAATTCTGCTATCAGGAGGAGAACTTTATATGCTCCTGATATAATGCAGGACCAAAGCTTGCTCGCAAAGGGTACTATAACTTACCACAGCGACAGAGAGCTGGGAGGCCCAGCTCTGCACTTTTCCCTGAAAAAGAAAGGAGTAGCTGCAATGCATCACTCCTGTCTGATGCAAAAATAATATGTTCTTAAAGACCTCTGGTGGCAGTGACTCCAGAGCTCCTTTGGCTTCTCTAAAAGTTGCACTGAACTCAGTATTTATGATAAGTTTAGAGAAGAGAGAGGCAATGATCTCGGTAGCTCAGTGGTACA